AACCGCTGCTGGGTCAGGGACTGGAACCAGCTTTGGATCGCTGGGTAAACGGGTCGAATGGTTCTGCAGAAACACCTTGATGTGGTAAACCTGGAGTCCAGTCAGGTCTGACTGAGGACTGGGATTATAATCTGTTACATGAGTAATCTAAAGGTGAACTCCAGGTTAAAGAGTCACCTGAGGGAGCAGGTGAAGGTCTCTGCTTCTGTCAGAGTCCAGCAGGATCTGGTCCGTCCACCTGAGGAGCATCTTCTCACAGTTTCACCAGACCAGTGAGATGAAGAGCAGACCGTTAATCCTGAAGCTTGAAACCTTCAGAACCGTTCTGTAGCTCTGCAGCTGGATTACAGCTTCACCCAGAGCCTTTGAGCCAAACATTTCCCCCAGAGGGCCAAAATAAAAATCTGTCCAGGGCTGTGGGCCAGCTGCAGTAATATAATACATAAAATACAAATACTTTTTAAAGTAAAGTCCTTTATTTTTAATGATTAATCTAACAGTCGGTGCAGTGGTCCTCTTTAGTTTTAATCTGGGCACTTGGAGAAAGTCTGCTGTACACTCAAACAGCAAAGGCTCATGGGACGTTTCATACATTGATAAGATATGAGTTTTGCGGCCTCAAAGTGTCAAAATCGACATGTGTGGTTAAATCTGATCCAAATATTTCTTGTTGTYGTTTCATGTTTCATGTTTAATCCTAATAAATCAAAGATAAAGTCAGCAGCATGAATAAAACTACAGCCGTTTATTATCATCTGACCAATGGAAACACTGGTAACAGCTTACAGCCCTGGAACTTTGGCAACTGTTGGTGGAACACATTTGGCCCGCAGGCCCCCACTTTGGGCTCCTCTGACCTAGAACCTTTAACCCAAACACAACAAACTGAAACACAACAAACTGAAACACAACAAACTAAAACACAACAAACTGAAACACAACAAACTGAAACACAACAAACCCACACAGGTTTAATCCTCTGAAATCACCTGAACCTGTTGTTTAATAAAACAGGTTCTGATTCTGAACCCAGTCAGGTCCGGTTCTGAAACTGAACCATCAGCTCAGGTTTTTCCTCCAAATTTTTATCTGTTTTCCAAACATTTTCTATAAAATTGTAAAAGTTTCCAGTAAAAACATTTTAAATCTTAAACAGGAGTGTTTCCAGGAGCAGTAAAATCTTTATATCGTCTCTTTTCTTCAGAGCGACTGATCAAACCTGTCAGATTAACCTGAAACAGACTCACAACTAAACAACACGAGTAATTTAATCTGGGTCTAACTGAGAGTCGGGTTCAATCCTCTGGTTCTGGTAAATAAACTAAACTCAGCTTTCAAACTGATCTGTGTTTAATCCATCAGAAACAGATTTAATCTGTTAAATCAAGTTCTGTTCAGACCAGTCTGACCGTAATCTGAAACACCTCAGATTAAACATGATTCACTTTGTACCAAGTTCAACATTTTTATCTTTCATGGAACCAAACATCATCATCATCATCATCATCAGCATAAATCTGGGATTATTCTCTGTTCTGTTCAATAATCTGGCTTAAATAATCCTGCAGCAAAACTAAAAGAATTAAAACATGGATGTTACTGCAAAATGACCACTTTCCACCTGTTCTTACAGCTTTAATCAGATTAATAATCAGATTAATAATCTATACTCATCTGATTCCACCTGTTCTTACAGCTTTAATCAGATTAATAATCAGATTAATAATCTATACTCATCTGATTCCACCTGTTCTTACAGGTTTAATCAGATTAATAATCAGATTAATAATCTATACTCATCTGATTCCACCTGTTCTTACAGGTTTA